GAAACTTTTTTGGCGGGAAAATGACTAACTTGAGAACAAGCAAGGCTGGGAGGCTGAAGTTTCCAAGGAATGTTCCTGGCATAAGTACGACACATGAGTATCAAATTCAGCCCCCAGGTGTTGTGTGTTCCCCGCGTACAGCCCGTGAAACTTTTTTGGCGGGAAAATGACTAACTCGAAAACTAGCAAAGCTAGCAAAGCTGGGAGGTTGAAATTTTCAGGAGATATTCTCAGCCCATGCATGACTTAAAATTATGAAATTCAGCCCCCAAGCATGCGCGGTTCTCGTGTAAGGGCAGTTAAATTTTTGGCGGGAAAATTACTCATTGAACAGCTGAGTCATTTTCGAATAAAACGAACGCTAAACGGAAATTGTTTATTCCCTTTCGTGCAAAATTCACGATGATTTACGGTATTGAGCGCGCAAAGTAGGTGTGAAAAAATAACGTTCATGCAGTTAACTTAATTACTTCAAGTTTGATGCATAAACGCATGATCGCACCGGCTTGCCTGGTGCTTTCCACCCTGAGATAACTGATGTCATGTCAATTTGGCTAAAAGGTTTCAAATTTAGCAGTAATGAATTCAGCTTATTATGTATGTGTTGGGCACGCCTTGCTTAACGCCGGCGAATCGCGCTAATACCAAGACCCCTCGTAGCCCGCTTGTGTTCCCCTGATGCTGGCTCTTCTCGGTTGAACTGCACTGGGACACTGTTAACATGATGAATGCTTTGTTGACACACTAAAGAACAAAAGAAAGAAGAGTGAACGAATCCTTGATCACACACATTTATATACAAGATTTTAGCGCGTAGAAATCAACGCTGATCACCGAAAAATGGCAGTTCACCAACTCAAATGACCTTCACCAAATTGCTCGCAAAATCTGCGCGCCATTTCCCGCTCTGCCCAACATTTGTGTTATGTTTATTTTATCCAGTTTAAATATAATTTTTGCACCTTTATGCGTTTTTGCTTATATGCAAGTTGCAAAAACGCATATTTTGACGACCTATGGTGTGCGTGTGTATATATGTATGTATGTATGTGTGTGTGTATGTATGTATGTATGTATGTATGTATGTGTGTGCATGTTGGTGTACATCTGTCCGGGTATTTCAACTCGGCACCCAAGCAAGCTCCGGCACCAAAGCTTTGGCTACGGGATCTCCAGCTAAGTGCCATTCCAGGACTGCGGTACTAACTTTCACGCAAATCTAGGCCCCGCGTATGAGAGGGTGAAAGTTTTGCGGGGTAATCGCTAGCTCGGGAATCAGAAAAGCTAGAAATCTGAAACTATGGGGTTGTATCCCCCGTCCACCTGGAACTAAAAGATTTCGAACCCAGTTCCCAAGTATGCCTGGTTCTTGCGTACGACCCCCTGAGGTTTCCTGGCGCGAAAGTCGCTAATTTGGGAAGCCAAGGAAGCTGGAAGTTAAAATTTTAGGGGATGTTCCCAGTCCATGTACAACTTAAAATTAGCAAATTCAGCCGCTGGACTTGGGTGTTTTTCAAGAAAGTTTTTGGCGGGAAAATACCCAACTCTGGTTCCAGGGAAGCTGTGAGGCTAAATTTTTGAGGGAACGTTCCCAGGCTCCGTGAAAGC